GGAGTGCACAGCTGTAGGCATTTTAGGCTTCTTTGCCAACATCTGTCACAGCAGTACAATAATATAGGTAATTATCAACACCTTACATAAACTGTTCGCTATTTTAATTTTCAGAAAGAGTAAAATTAGTGTTATAGTCCTTGGCAAAAATAATTGAGTTGAATAGAATAATTTTTTTCTCTAAAAGATGAATAACTGATCTGATCATTTTTTGAAAAGCACACATTTTAAATATTTTCCGCAGCCAATGCCAGTATTATACCATTTTGAAAAGCAAAAATTCTAAGTGATTTTTTTTGAAAAGTAAAGATACAAGTACATGTAAAATAAGGGGAGAGGTAGAGAGAGGCCAATGATTTGCTATTTGAAGCAACCAAACATGGTATGTTTTCTGATTAAAAAATAGTTTGTGAATACCCCACAATCATAGCATTAATTGGTTCCATATTCATAAAGATTAAAAATTCACTTTATGTCAGCATACCAAAATCTGTAGTGATGAGTTATAAAAAAAATTGTCTTCCTCATTTTTCCATGCTCCTCTCAGTCATAGAATTTTGCAGCAAAATGACATATAAAACTATAATTCACATCATGCCATCTTATAACTAAAGTTAATTTAAAAAGGGTTAGCGCATCAGATAAATCCAAGGACCCTTCATTCTTTTAGTGCACTTAAATATAGATCATCTACAGTGCTCCCCCTAAAATACTAGGCATTACTGTCTCGTATCTGATTCCCTTGACGTATACTAGAGCTATTTTTCAGTCTACAGAACTCGAAGCAGCAAGACTATATTCCGAAGCACCTGTTCTGGGGAAGATGCCAGTCAATAATGTCTTATTGAAAGACCAGGCCCAGCTCGAGAAAATAAAGGAATGGAGCTGCAGTTGGATTTCATCATCTAACCATGCAATGTAATCTTAACCAATTCATTACACACTCCTTTTGTTTCCACGACAAAAGGGATGTTACCTTTGTCAGAGGTTGTAATTCCAGTATGTTCAAGCAAAGACAAGGAAGAAATTGAAAAAGTGCTATCAATTCTACCCACAGCCAGGAAGAACTGTAGGGTCAGAAGGTCATTATCACTGTCCCATGTACAGTTCAGAGTAGGCCACAGATAGCTAAAATTTCCACACCGCAATTGAAAGGTATAATAAAGGAGACTCACAGAAAATACTGGGTAAAAATAGGAGTAGGAAATCATATCCTTGAACGCATTGGATTTAACACATGTGAAGAATGAAATGACGTGAATCTCTATTTGGGCAACAGTTGTGGATGCTTGAAATTATGCTTTCTTAGAACAATCCAGGAGGAGGGAAATTTTATTAATGGGAGGTCACCATGGCAAAAAAGTGAGTCAAATTGCAACATTCATAATCTAAAGGTCTAGAGAAGGTCAAATGAGAAGAAGGAGGAAGTAATATATAGATATAAAAGGCAGACAACTTGGTCCAAAAGGAAGATTAAAAATGACAGAAAGTGGCTAAAAGGAAAAGACAAATGTGAGACAAACTGACAGAGAATAAGGCTGGGGGGTGGGGGGTGGGGGTGCAAAAGACGATATTGATGATCAAATGGAGTTTAGAGACCAAATGAAAATTTAGGGCCTGTGAGTGTTACTGTCTTCTAAAGAGAGTGACCAGCTGTAAGAAATGAGTGTAGGAAAGTGAAACATTAAAAAATAATAGCTGAGTAGTATTGTTTCGAAGTCTGTCAAAATGGGTTTATCTGATATTTGCCAATGTCATATTTCTTTACCAGCAAGGGAAAAATCAATATATGTTGATGTCTAGAAAAGGTGGGGAAAAAGAGAAAGTAACTCATTCCCCAATACTTTTCCCACCTGTTTTTTTTAAACAGTCAGCACAATTCCTTTTTTTAAAAAAATATACTTATTGATTTCAGAAAAGAAGGAAGAGGGAGAGAGAGATAGAAACATCAATGATGAGAGATAATTATTGATTGGCTGCCTCCTGCAGGTGCCCCCCCCCCCTCCGTCCCCGGACCCAGTCCGCAACCCAGGCATGTGCCCTGACCAGGTATTGAACTGTGACCTCCTGGTTCTTAAGTTGACACTCAACCACTGTGCCATATGGGCCAGGATCCACCTGGTTTCAAATACTTGGAACAGAATATTTGAACAAGGATATCTGAGACATCAGATTCTAGAGTGAGCTTCAAAAATTATTGGACTAAAACAATTTTCACTGCGGTGGTGGCTTATAAGAAAATTTATACTATTTCAGAGTTTATATTGTGAATGTGAAGGCGTATTTGTCTATAAATATTCCTCCTTGATTACTTGGCACTCCTCAATTGATAGGAATAATACTTTGCTAGGGTTCATTTTATACGCTAAAAATTATATTCAAAAGTCAGAGCTGGCTCTGATCAACCCTCTGAAACAGACACAGTTTGCAGTCAGCATGCTCTCATCTCCTTCCCTCTTTTGTGCTAGTGCCTCTCCCGGCTTGTGCCCACTGCCCTCATCTTCCTTCATTAAGGGTCTTAATCCAGGCTGATCTTCCCTAGGTAGTGTCCCAGGCTTGCCCCATCCTTCCGCTTTGCAAAATCTGAAACAAATGGCTAATAAATGGATTCACCATAATGTACTAATGACTGATAAGAACAATGGGTTCTTTCTTCAAAGTTACTAGCTTTATGCCAGAAGCTCTTTGAAGGGAGACATGGCACAGACCTTAGTCATTTTTATATCCGCTATATCACCCAACAAAGTGCCTTCTCCATAATAAATATCAACTTGTAAATGAATTATTTGTTGTTTTATATTTTTCTCCCTAAATCAATCCATCCATCAATCATCAATCTATATCACTGAGAGTAATCTTTTAAATTTTTAAAATGTACTTATATTTTAGGTCCCAATAGCTAGATACCGTGGTCAAGCAGAATTAGGATCTTTAAAAGTGATATTAATATTTTTCTTACTGATGTTTATTACAAGAACATTAAAAGGAAATTTAAAAAGGAAAATGTAATCTATAATACTACCACCATAACATCATAAATATCTTAACATTTTCTATATTCCTTTTTGATCTTTGGCCCACACATACTTAAAAATTATGTAGTACACATACCTTTGGGTTTTTATGTTCATTTAATTTTGCTGTGCTTTGAAAGTGAATTTATCATTAAAGGACAAAAGCTTATTGTTAGTATTGAAATTTCTAGTGGTAGAATTTTAAGAGTCTTAAAATAAGTCTGAGAAGACATTTTTGGATTGGGGAGACTTTTTCAAGCTCTCTAAGGCCAGTATTTCTGAAAGTAGCTAATCTTCCCTTTTACTTTTTAAATTGAATTTATTGGTATGACATTGGTTAAAAAAATTATATAGGTTTCAGATGTGAAAATAGCCAATCTTTTATGACCTAAATATAGGATCTTTGTTTTCAGAAGGAGAAATTGGAAACAGGATTTTAGAAACATAAAATAGGTCTTAGAGAAAGAGAAGATTCTAAATGAGATTTAACGGTAGGTACTAGCTTCCATTTTGATTGTCGATAACTGAAGGCATTTATCTATCCTTCCTGGAGTCTATCTAGAAAAAGTCTCAGATCTCTGAGTGTTTCCACCCTTATTCCAAATATGTTCCTCATAATAGGGTTTGGTCAAAAAGGTTTGGATGTACAAGTCAGATTCACCAGCATAACAAAAAAATCAAATTAATTTTCTCTAGTCACTCCTGCAGGCAATCCAAAGCCCTTTACAGGAGAAACACTAGGATGTTTTATTAATCAAGGGATCATGTAGAATATTTTCAAGTTACGTAATTAGTATTTTCACCACTATAAGTCAAAAAGATTTGGAAGAACTGCCACAGTGTGGAGTTTAGCCTTGAATGTCCATTACCAGCAAATGGAATGATTGGGAGAACATGATAAACTAGTCTATAAAAAATATGCACTTTCAGGCAGTCCATTTCTCTCCTTCCCCCACTCTGTTTTGACCTTACTATCTGCTGTGGCACTTATATATTCAATGCAAGTAGTGATCCCCTTCACACACACACACACACACACACACACACACACACACACACACCAGGCTCCTCCCTTGACACCAATTGAAGGAGGCTGATTTACTGTGCTATGCAATTCAATCCACCATTTCTTATTTAAGTAGGATGGCCTCCAGAGTATTTTTCTTTTCCTAATATGAAACTAAAATCCTACAAGGCCACCACTAATATGTAATGTTATCAGTGTAAACATAGAGGGAGGTGGTTTTAAAGGTCAAAGTTCACAGGATCCTAGAGCAAGACCCTCTGGAATTCTCCCCCGTATACTATTTGCAACAAGCCGTATAACCCAGCTTGTCTTGAAGAGGCGAGAAAATCAGGCCACAGCACAGAGCAAATTGTGCTGCAGAGAAAATGCAGAGCTGATTCCCATCTCACACCTGCAGAATCCGCTGTCAGCTGTTCAATTCTAAGTTCTGTGGCTTTTTTTTCTCTTCCTGCCTGTTGGCTGGCTAATTGATTAACTCCTTAATATCTGCAGCAGAGATCACATAAGCAAATATTTATGGGATCAAGAAAAACACTCGAATGAAAGGGTGATTGAGCAGGCTGGCTGAATTTTGTGCTTCCTGCACGAAATCATTGCTGAGAGTTGTCTCCCCAGCTGCACAGGGACCGGAGTGGCGTCTCAAAATTCAGCCTTGACTTCCTAGCCTCGCTTCCATTCACTCCACCTCCAGCGGCCCCGCCAGCCATACAGCACACCATCCTCATTTTATGTCGCAGGCAAAAAGCCAACAAAAATATGGTCACATTTAAAAGCCTTTTAAAGCAGTGAGCACCTCCCTCCTTCCCCAATTGTTCCCTGCTTTTTCACATTCCTAGTTAATAGGTTTTTAAAGCAGTTTCCCCAACTCTTTTCCTGCCACATACTGTCTTGCCTGGCACATATGCAGCAAAAGGCTGTTCTTCAAGAGGTTTTTATATCCATTGTACCTCTTGGCGCCTTTCAACTGCTAACTCTTCAGGTACGGGCTGTGTTTCTTGCTTAGCGTATTTTGCATGTTCCAAGCCATTCACAGCAACTACAGCAAAAAGTGAGGCGAAAAATAAAAATAATGAATACAATCATTTTAAGTGAAGTTTAGGGCCATGTCTGCGGTTTTCTATTTGCTCATGGCATCGAACAGATATCCAACATTTTTAGGGAAGTGTGCGATTTTGAGTTGAAATATAAATAAGGAGGTTTTTCTTTCTCTCTCTTTTTTAGAATTAAAGTTTCCTGGCAAGTCCTGAGGCTTTCGTTTGTTGAAACACCCATACACTACAGATTAGGCTGACTGGAAATCCTCCCCCACTCTTGTTTTTATTGATAGAATGAGGATAAGAAAAAGGTGCAAATGAAGAACATAAAATAATTTGAATATTGAGAGCTGGTAAAGATTTAAAGGTCTGTGTTTACATTTTTTCATTGAACAAGTATTTGTTGCCTACTGTGTACCAGGAATTGTGCTTAGGTATTAGATGTGACGATGAATAGGAAATAGTCTTTGTCCTAAAAGAAACTCACAGAGAGAGCCAAGAAAAATAAGCAATGAATTAAATATGTATTTGGAGAAATAATGCTCTGTGACTTTGCTTGAAGTTAAAATGTTTAGCTTTGAGATAACAAATCTAAAGTAGGTAAATATGCTGTTAAAATATGAAGTAAGCAAGTATTTCCCCTCCTGACTACAGAAAATAATGATGACTAGCACTTGCTTTTATTTTATTTTTTAAAAAATATGTTTTTATTGATTTCAGAAAGGAAGGGAGAGAGAGATAGAAACATCAATGATAAGAGAGAGTCATTGATAGGCTGCCTCCTGCATACCCTAGGGATCGAGCCTGAAACCCAGGCATGTGCCCTGACTGGGAATCGAACCATGACCTCCTGGTTCATAGGTCAATGCTCAACCACTAAGCCTCGCTGGCCAGGCATCTAGCACTTGCTTTTTACATGCAGCCGTATGTTCTCCTCAGGCCCTGCAATGCTGTATGCTTTTTCTTCAACTTTGAGACCAGCGATCTCATCATGTTGCCAAAATGAATGGAAGTTTTATAAACAGTGTAGCAATTATAAATTACTCAAATGCTTAAGTCTTATAACATGTTCTTTTTTTCCTGGTTTTGTCCAGTGGATGATATTTTAGAGTAAGCTACAGAAAATCAGTTTAGCTAAAGTTCTCATGGATAGAACTATTTGCAACATTCACTTTTTTTCCTTTTCCTGTACTACTGTTATTGCTGGAAAAAACTTTACATTTAGATTATTTTCCCATTATTTGCTTATAATTCTTTAAAGAAAGGTTTAAGGGTGCTGTGAGGGAAACAAAATTGAAAGAAGTATTGCCTCTTCTTCATTTTTGGGGGAAGAGTTTGCAAAGAACAAGTATCAAACCTTCTTGTTTATCCCCATATATAAAACTTAACTCAAAATGGGTGAAAGACCTAAACATAAGACCTGAAACAATAAATTACACAGAAGAAAATATAAATACTAAATGTATGGATCTTGGTCTCTGAGGGGATTTTATGACTTTGACCCCAAAGACAAGGTAAGTAAAGGCAAAGATAAATGAACAGGATTATATCAAACTAAAAAGCTTCTGTACAGCAAAAGAAACTGCCAACAAAATGAAAGGCAACCAACCAAATGGGAGAAGATATTTGTAAACAACAGCTCCAGCAAGGATTTAATATCTAAAATATACCAAGAATTCATACAACTCAACATTACCAAACAATCCAAATTAAACAATGGGCAGAGGCCCTAAACAGACACTTCTCCCAAGAAGACACACAAATGTCAAATCGAACCGTGACCTCCTGGTTCATAGGTCAACGCTCAACCACTGAGCCACGCCTGCTGGGCAGGGGACTTTTGATGAACAAAACGACTGAACACATATAATATATTGTAAAGCAGAATATGATTAATGTCTCATTAGGGAAGAAGAGTTTGAGCTGCACCTTGAATAATTTAAACCAGCAGAGATATGAGGATGACTTTGTAAGCAGAGCAAACAGAACATCCTAAGGCTCCATGATTGGCACAGGGTGGAAGTATTGGGATAAAGCCTGTGGAGGGTAAGGTCCGATAACAGAGACATTTGGATGCACACCGTGAAGCTTAAACTGAAATTCAGGGAATACTGGGTCTGCAGAACATAGAAATAGGAGGATTAGGCTGCTAATCTGTTGGATGGCTAGGTACAACAGGAGGGAAACCTAGAGGTGGGAGCTGAGTTGAGAGGGGGTTTTGAGATTCCAGGGAGGAGTATCACGTTGGATTTTGGCTATGGTGACTGAAAGAAGGAGATGAATCCTGGATGGATACTGTAGCTATATGAGCTGCTAAAACCTGTCCTAAATAGCAGTGATGAAAAGCAATGAAAAGGAATCAAGTATGGCACCAAAATGTTGAGCTTGGAAGACAATAAGACAAGCTATTAGGAATGGAAAGAGGAAACTCAGATGGAGAAAGTGGTTTAGTGGGAAAGATATGAATTTGGGTTTGATCCTGTTGGATTTGAAGTGTTGTTAGTACATTCATGTTGGGATAGCCATCAGAGAGTAAGAAAATGGAGGAACTTGGGAAAGAGGTCAGAGCTAGAGACAAATTTTGGAATTATTATTATTTAAAATTTCTTATTGTTGAGATTATTATAGATGTCCCTCTTTTTCCCCCTATTGCCTCCCTCCACCCTGTTCCCACCCTGAACCAGGCCTTCACCACCCTATTGTCTCTGTCCATAGGTAATGCATATATGCATATAAGATCTTTGTTTAACCTCTTCCCACTTTCTACCCCCTTCCCTCTGAAAATCGTCAGTCTGTCTGTTCCATTTCCATGCCTCTGATTCTATTTTATTCACCAGTTTGTTCTGTTCATTAGATCTCATATTGATGTATTTTGATTTTGAGATTCAATTGTTGATAGGTATGTATTTGTTGCCATTTTGTTGTTCAGAATTTTGGAATTATTTGCATTGTAATAACTGCAATTCCTCAGAGAATAGGTCTCAAAAAGAGAGAGAGAGACAGGGAAGGGTGGTGAGAAGAGATCAACCAATGAACTTATATGCATATATGCATAACCCAGGACACAGACAATGGGGTGGTGAGGGCCTGGTGGTGGTGGTGGTGGGGTGGTTGGGACGGGAGCTGGTTGGAAGAGGTTAATGGGGGAAAAAGAAGGACCTATGTAATTCTTTCAACAATAAAGATTAAAAAAATAAAAAAAGAGGGAGAGAAGATGGTGAGAGAAGAGAACTATGGACAGAACCTGGATACTCAAAGTTAAGAAGATAAGCCCACAGGGGAGACAGAGATGCCAGACTTAGAGTTACAGAGACCAAGAAAAGAGTTTTAATGAAGTGATATCATTAGCAACCAGAAATGTTCAGGTTTTTTTTTTTTTAAAGGTTCTCCTTTAAAAAATATAGTTTCTGTTTTATGCACATGTTTTTGTGTTATACATCTCACAAAAATGTTTTGTGTTTGGAAGGATGCACACCAAACATTTACTAATTATTAATGTGGAGGGGTGGGGGGGGTAGATTTTCTCTGTACAAGTATATAAGGTCATATCAGTCAGGATCCCAGGAGGAAACAGATGGCATGTTCAAATTCAGATAATCATGAAAGGTTTACTAAAGAGACTATTTACAAACATGTGGACAAGGTGTGGGACATCGCAAATATTTACGTAGTATCCCAGGAGCAACAGTAGGGGTTGTTAACATTCCTAGGTCCAAAAGGATGAGGAGAGGGAGCAATTTCTGGAACTTGGAAAGAGGTCCTATCGTTTAAAGCAGGATAAAGTCATAAGGCATGCTAGGATTGGGAGAGATAAAAATCATTATTAGCAGATGATATGATTATCTGTACAGAAAATCCAACTGAATCAACATGCTATGGGTGCTACTAAAAGTTTAGCAAGATTGATAGAAATATACAAGTCAACTCTAAAAGCACTCCTTTTAGAAAAAATTGTTGTAATAATACAAATAATATATTATTTTAAGACATATAAATCCTCATTTTTTTTGGTTTGCATGTTTTATTTCTAAATCCTCATTTCAAAAAATATTTTTTATTGATTTCAGAGAGGAAGGGAGAAGAAGAAGAGAGAGAGATAGAAACATCAATGATGATAGGAAACCATTGATTGGCTGCCTTCTGCAGGCTGGACAGAGCCCACAACCCAGGAAGAAACATCAATGATGAGAGGGAACCATTGATTGGCTGTCTCCTGCAGGCTGGACCGAGCCCACAACCCAGGTATGTGCCCTTGACCGGAATCGAACCTGGGACCCTTCAGTCCACAGGCTGACGTTCTATCTACCGAGCCAAACCGGCTAGGGCTAAATCCTCATTTTTTTAGTAGAAAAATAGAAAAGGACATAAAATAAGATTTGAATAATGGAAAAATACACTGTGTTCATGGTTGGTATGATTTAACCTAGTAAAGTTATCTTCTCTCCAAATACACACGCAAAGTAAATAAAACTCCAATGAAAATTTTAACTGAATTTTTGAGGAACACAATAAAATTTAAATAAATGTCTAAAGGTCCTCAAATTTTTAAACATGTTCATACAAAACGATAAACCAAATACTAGTCACTCGCACTCATCAGATATTAAGACATACTATAAATGATGGTGATGCTGTTGATAATTGTCCCAGCAATATAGGAATGGACCAATGAAACAGAATTGAGAGCTAAGACATTGCTCTTAATTTATATCTGAGGACTTGCTGTATGATAGATGTTTGTATCCTTGAAAAAAGGATAAATTGTTTAGTAGATGATGTTAAGGTGACTATTTTATTATGTGGAGAAAAATAAAGACCTCTAAGTCACACAATGCTTTGCTCTAGATAAGTTAAAGATCTACATGTAATCAATAACTCTATAAAGATAACAGGAGAAAATGTGAAATAAAATCTTTGTGACCAAGGGACTTGGGAAAACAGAATTTCAAAAGCACCAACTAAGAATAAAAGAAGAGTGGTTGGAATTGGCTACACTAAAATT